ATAGAATAGAATAGAATAGAATAGAATAGAATAGAATAGAATAGAAAAGAAAATAGGGAATAGAATCTATATAAATAAAAATGTAAATGTTCGTTTGTTCAAAATCTTAAATCTCCGAAAGTTCTTCACCGATTGCTTTGAACTTTTGACACAACGTTGCATTCGAATACGCGTGTGTTTTTATATACCTATATATTATATAGATGTCACACCTGTGACACAAACGTGCGCTTTCTCTTTTCTTTCTTTTCCATTTAACCAGACTGAGCCACAGCAACGCGTGGCCGGGTACAGCTAGTAGAAAATAGAATAGAATAGAAAATAGAATATAGAATAGAATAGAATAAGAGATAGAATAGAATATAGACTATAGAATAGAATAGAAAATAGATTATAGAATAGAATAAGAAATAGAATAGAAAAGACTATAGAATAGAATAGAAAATAGAATAGAAATAGACTATAGAATAGAAAATAGAATAGAAAATAGGCTATAGAGTAGACTAGAATAGAATAAGTAGAATAGAAAATAGACAAATAGAACAGAAAAAAGAATAGAATAGAATACAGAATATAGAATAGAATATAGAATAGAACAGAACAGAACAGAATAGAACAGAGAATAATATGAATAATGAATAGAATAGAATAGAATAGAAGCTGGAAGGGACCTTGGAGGTCTTCTAGTCCAACCTCCCGCTCAAGCAGGAGAACCTACTAACTTACTAAAGGTTAGATTGAGGGGCTCACACCCCAAAGTTACAACCCGGAGACTAGGGGAGATGGTCTCAAACAAGAACAGGCAGTCCCCGACTTACAACCACCATGGAGCCCAAATTTTCCGTGGCCGAACGGGACCCGTTCTCGACCGAGTTTTGTCCCATTTTACAAACCTTTCCTGCCACTGTTGTAAAGCGAATCATTGCCGTTCTTAAGTTCGTTCACGCGGTCGTTAAGCGAATCCGGCTTCCCCCACTGACTTGTCTCGTGTGGTCGCAAAAGGGGATCACGTGACCCCCCCCGGGGGACGTTGCGAGCGTCATAAATACGAGTCAGTGGCCAAGCATCTGAATTTTGATCCCGTGACCCCGGGGGATGCTGCAACGGTTGTTAAGTGTGAAAAACGGTCACAAGTCTCTTTTTTCAGTGCTGCTGTAAGCTTGCACGGACACTAAATGAACTGTTGTAACTCGAGGACTACTTGTACTCACTGGATAAGAGGTAAGAGGAGGACATACTAGAGCAGTGGTTCTCAACCTTTTTAATGCCGCGACCCCAACCGGTCGTAAGTTGAGGACTAAACCGGTCGTAAGTCGCGGACTAAACCGGTCGTAAGTCGAGGACTACCCAACCGGTCATAAGTCGAGGACTTTCCCTGCCCGGGAGCGCCGCGCATGCGTGGCTCCGCCCCCTGCGCCGGCCGAGGCGTAGCTGGCAAGCGGCAGAGACGGAGCAGGCCGACCACCAGCTGGCCCAGCCCAAGGGAGGTAAGGCACCCGCCGGAAAAGGGGGAAAAAATGGCGGACAAAAAAATGGTAGACAAAAAAAATGGCGGACAGCCTTGCTTGGCGACCCCCGTGAAATGGTCGATCGACCCCAAATGGGGTCCCGACCCACAGGTTGAGAACCACTGCACTAGAGAAAGAAGTAAAACACGGAGGCGGCTTAGTTTTCTGAGTTTAATTTATTCCTCCGGGACTCAGACACAATTTGGGGGTTACCCTCCGATTCCCCTCGGTTTCCTTTCTATGCAAAACTCCTGTTATTCCAGCGCAAGAATGGAGCGTTTCTCCTCGGCCCAAATCTTATTTTATTTTATTTATTTGAAGCATTTACAGAACCACCCATCTTTCACTCCGCCCTGTTGAAAGTTCAAAGGTTTCGCTCTTTTCAAAGGCTGGGAATCCAGAAGGTAGATTTCCAGCAACTGTGCACCCGAGACTGGTGCGGTGAGGTCTTCTAGTCCAACCCCCTGCTGAAGCAGGAGACCGTATATCATTTCAGACCAGGGACTACCCAGTCTCTTCTCAAAAGCCTCCAGTGATGGAGCACCTAAAACTTCTGGAGGCAAGGAGTTCCACTGGTTAATTGTCCTCCCTGTTAGGAAGTTTCTCCTTAATTCCAGGTTGCTTCTCTCCTTGATTAGTTTCCAACCGTTGTTTCTTGTTCTGCGACAAAGCACCCACAACCTCTGACGGGCATAGAGAAATGGCCTCCTTAGAAGGCTCTAGAAAGTTCTGGAGAACCTCATGGAGGAGGAGATGGAGCAGGTTACATGGAAGGACCCTTCCTGTTTCACCCCGTCTTTAAATTAGACCAAAGCTTTGTACAAAAATAGAAAGGCTTCTCATAAGATTTACAACAAATATTATTAAATAAATATTTGGGTAGAGCAGGGGTAGGCAACCTTGGCTCTTTGATGACTGGTGGACTTCAACTCCCAGAATTCCTCAGCCAGCATGGGGGAACTTATGGCCCCCTCATGACTCGTGGACTTCAATTCCCAGAATTCCTGAGCCAGCATGGGGGAACTATGGCCCCCTCATGACTCCTGGACTTCAACTCCCAGAATTCCTCAGCCAGCATGGCTCAGCTTGGAAACCTCTCCCTGTCCCCTCAGCGTGGCTGGCTGGGGAATTCTGGGAGTTGAAGTCCACCAGTCATCAAAGAGCCATGGTTGCCTACCCATGGGGTAGGGGGTCCTCGGCCTGGCTCATAGTTCATCCTTGGGGTTGATGTCCAGCTCGGTGGGACCGAAGGGATGGTGGCCTAACAAGGCGATGATCTCGTCGGCCTGGATCCGCTCCTGGAGAAAAAAGGGAAAGGAGGACAAGAGGTGAAGGATCAGCCAAGGACTTTGTAGGTCTTCTATCGAGTCCAATCCTCTGTGTAAGAAGGAGCCTGTATATCATTTCAGACAAATGGCTGCCTGTTCTTAAACATGGAAGGAAGGAAGGAAGGAAGGAAGGAAGGAAGGAAGGAAGGAAGGAAGGAAGGAAGGAAGGAAGGAAGGAAAAGAGAAAAAGAGAGGGAGAGAGAGAGAGACAGAGAAAGAAAAAGAATGAGAGAAGAGAGAAGAAAGACAAGAAAAAGAGAAAATGAGAAGGAAGGAAGGAGATGGGAATGGGAAGGAAGGAAGGAATGGAGAGAAAGAGAGTGAGAGGGACAAAGAAAAAGAACAAGAGAAAGAAACGAAAAAGAGAAAGGAAAAAGACAAGAAAAAGTGGGAACCAAGGAAGGAGATGGGAATGAGAAGGAAGGAAGGAAACGGCTGCCCACCCGCTCTCCCTTTCCAGCCACCAGGGGGCGCCCTTGCACAACTAATAGTTCCGGATCCGAGTCAGGATGAAAAAAAAAACCCAGGCAAGGCCGGCAGCTGCTTATAAGTCAAGGGGGGACTCTCGGGAGGAGTTTGGGGAGCCCCTTTTTCCGGCCAAGAGAGGCCGCTGAGGCAGCCCTGGAGCCCCTCGCTAGAGGCACAGCCCCCCCCCACCTGACCTCAAAGGGGTTGGCCTGCAAAGGTGTGAATGGGCTCCTGAGTTGGGTCTATATAGTGATCAATTCCGCTTTCCTCCTCCCCTTCCTTCTTTTCTTTCTTTCCTCCCTCCCTCCCTCCCCTTCTTCCTTCCTTCCTTCCTTGCTCCGTTCCTCCCCATCTCCTTCCTTGCTTCCTCCTTTCCTCTGCCCTTCTCCTCTCTCCTTCCTTCCTTCCTTCCTTCCTTCCTTCCTTCCTTCTTTTCTTTCTTTCCTCCCTCCCTCCCTCCCACCCCTTCTTCCCTGCTTCCTTCCATGCTGCATTCCTCCCCACCTCCTTCCTTCCTCCCGCTTTCCTTCCTTCCTTCCTTCCTTCCTTCTCCGTCCCTCCCTCCCTCCCTCCCACCCCCTCTTCCATTTGTTTCCTTCCTTATTTCCTCTGCCTCCTTCTCCTTTTCCTTCCTCCCACCCTCCCCTCTTCCCTGCTTCCTTTCTTGCCTCTGCCCTTCTCTTTCCTTCCTTCCTTCCTTCCTTCCTTCCTTNTCCTTCCTCCCGCTTTCCTTCCTTCCTTCCTTCCTTCCTTCTCCGTCCCTCCCTCCCTCCCTCCCACCCCCTCTTCCATTTCCTTCCTCTGCCCTTCTTCTCCTCCTCCTTCCTCCCTCCCTCCCTCCCCTTCTTTCCTGCTTCCTTCCTTGCTCCATTCCTCCCCATCTCCTTCCTTCCTTCCTTCCTTCCCTCCCTCCCTTCCCTTCCCTTCCTGGTCCCAGACCGGGGCCAAACTCACCGCTTCCCGGTGGAGGGGGTCCAGGGTGAACCACAGAGCCACGGCGCAGCGCTGGCCCCGGGTGACGGCCTTCACCCCGTGGGGGTTCTCCCCGCCGGACGAGAAGCTGACCATCCGGCCGCATTTGGGCCTGACGGAGGCCTGGGAGGAGGAGGGAAGGCGCCCGGCTCGGATCAGGGCCCAACGGAGCCCCCCCTCCCCCCTTCCCCCCTCCCCCTTCCCTGGCCTCTCGGATACAGGCAGTCCTCGACTTAACAACCGTAATGCCACCTGCCCATAAAGCCGCAAAGCAGGTGACGGGCCTCATTTTATGAACTCTTTTTTGCCCCCAGGGAAATGGCTGTTAAGCGAACCCGTTGTTCGTTAGGGGGCATTTTGGCACAAAATTGGAAATAAACTCCAGTGTTTTTTTTTCCCAGCAAAAACGTGAATCGGGGTCCCACAACTGCAGAGGCACCCTGCAAACAATTGTAAATGCGGGGTGTGTGTGTGTGTGTGTGTGTTGCCATTGCCCAAAATGCGGTCATGTGACTGTGGGGGGAGGAGGGGCGGGTCAAAAGTATCTTCTGGGCGGTCCGTGGGAACTTTGAACGGTTGCTAAGCAACCGGCGTCATAAGCCGGGGACTATCAACAATGGACGGACGGATAGAACCTGCGGATCTCCTTTCCATTAAAACAGGGTGTGTGTGTGTGTGTGTGTGTGTGTGTGTGTGTGTGTGTCTCCCCCACCTTGACCCCTTTTAAGACGGGTGGACTTCAACTCCCAGAATTCCCCAGCCTGCCCCCCAAAAACTTGTGCTGTCTTATCATCGGCATACAGGTGGGTCCTCAAGTTACAGCTGTCCGTTTAGTGACCATCCAAAGTGATAACAGCTTGGGGGGGAAAACCCCTCCAGTCCTCGCACTTATAACCATTGCACCATTTCGACAAATTTTTTGAGCAAAATTTGGGCGCTTGGACAACTGGGGGGTCTGTTTACGATGTTCGCAGCATCCCGGCGTGTGTGTGTGTGTGTGTGTGTGTGGTGTGTGTGATGTGATCCCTATTTGTGACCTTCCCAGCTGGCCTCGGACCAGCAAAGCCAATTGGGGAAAAGCTGGATTCGCTTTACGCCCGCAGGAGTCGCTAAACGTCTTCGGCGATTCGCTCAGCAACCCTGGCAAAAACGTCGTAAAATCAGGTGTGACTCGCTTGCCGTTCGCGGCCTCCCAGGCTGGGTTTCCAATAAGGTAAGTCAGCAGGAGAAAAGCTGGATTCGCTTAATGACCTCGTGATTCGGTTAACGACGGGGTTGATCTGCTCAACAAACGTGCCCCCCCCCAAAAAAGCCGTGGCTCCCTTAGGCAACTCTCGGAAGGACCTCGCCTTGCTTAGCGGCAGAAACTTCGGCCCTGATTGTGGTCGTAAGTCAAGGACTACGTGCATGATACAACAGGCCTTGCTACTCACCGTGACCGTCTTGGCGTCCATTTCCGTGAAAATAAATTCCCCGCCTTCAAAATCGCCGTTCATGTAGAGGAGAGCGCTGCAAAGGAAGAGTAGGAGAGCTGAGGAAGGGGAGACCAAGCAGAGCGTCCATCCAACAGGTCAAGCTGAGGACCAACCGGTGGGCCTCTTCTTCTGAGAGAAGCAGAGCGTCCACCCAACAGGTCAAGCTGAGGACCAGTCGGTTGGCCTTCTGGGAGAAGCAGAGCGTCCATCCAACAGGTCAAGCTGAGGACCAATTGGTGGGCCTCTTCTTCTGGGAGAAGCAGAGCGTCCACCCAACAGGTCAAGCTGATGACTGGCTGGTTGACCTCTTCTTCTGAGAGAAGCAGAGCCTCCATCCAACAGGTCAAGCTGAGGACCAACCGATGGGCCTCTTCTTCACCTTATGTACACGGGTGAGACCCGTGCAAAGGGGTCTGCATTGCAGGCTGGGATGGGGGCCCCACAGCCGCAGAGCCTGGTGGTCCTTCCATCTTCCCTTCCGGAGCTCCGTCCGGAGAGGCGTTAGTCCTTGAAGGGGACGGAACAACTGAATAACAGAGCTGGAAGGGGCCTTGGGGGTCCTCTAGTCCAACCCAGGAGACCCTAGAGACCATTCCAGAAAAATGGCCGTCTGTTCTAAAAACCTTCTTTGTAAAAAAAAAGAAGAAGAAGAAAGGAAGGAAGAAAGGAAAGAGGAAAGAAGAAAGAAAGAAAGGACAGAAGGAAGGAAGGAAAGAAAGAGAGAAAGAAAGAAAGAAAGAAAAAGAAAGAAAGAAAGAAAGAAAAGAAAGAAAGAGAAAAAAAGAAAAAGACAAAACAAGGAAGGAAGAAAGAAAGAAAGAAAAGAAAAAAAGAAAAAGAAAGAAAGAAAGAAAAAGAAAGAAAAGAAAGAAAAAGAAAGAAAAAGAAAGAAAGAAAAAGAATGAAAGAAAGAAAAAGAAAGAAAAAGATAAAACAAGGAAGGAAGGAAGGAAGGAAAACAAAGGACAGAAGAAAGAAAAAGGGAAACGGGAGGGAGGGAGGGGGAGGAAGGGAGGAAGAAAGGAAAACAAAGAGAAGGAAGGAAGGACAGAATAATGAAGGAGGAAGGCACCTTGGAGGTCATCTAATCCAACCCGCCTGCTCAAGCGTTGTCTTTTCTGAAGACTACTGGAGCCCCTGAAATCCCTTCTCCTCTTCAGGCTCCCAAGCGGCCCACCCACCTGTAATCCCGGAAGGTGTAGGCCGGGGGCTCCTTCCAGCACTCGTTGGCTTCCGGGTCCAAGAGACAATTGTCCGCGTGGATCGGGTGGCTGAGATCGTTCCTCCGTTCCTGCTGACCTGAAAAGGCCAAGAAGGTGGGCCCAATTAGCACACATTCCTCCTCTGTTGTGATCTTGTTAACTCCAACCTTCTTCCCCTGCTCCCAGTCCCCTACACCAGGGGTCTTCAACGTTGGCCACCTTAAGACTTGTGGACTTCAACTCCCAGAATTCCCTGACACTAATGCATTCTTTTTGACGTGTATCTCCATCGTGGCCTGCTGACTCTCTTGTAATCCCTTTCTCTGCAGTCTCACTGCTCTAGAGGGGCAGAAGCAAAGTAATAGGCATGGCTGGCTGGGAAAATCTGGGAAGTTGAAGTCCGCAGGTCTTAAAAGTGGCCAGCGTTGGAGACCCTCACTCTACTACACCGGTGTTGCTCAACCTTGCCCTCTCCCCAGCCTTACCTGACAGGGCCGTGCGGCACACCAGGTGTGTGTAAGAGAAATAGAGGGTGGAATTCAGCATGAAGTAGGATTCCACTATCTTCCGGGCTTTCTCGCTGACATCGTAGAAGAGGCGGGCACTTTTCAACGGGATCCGCCCCTCGTAGCCAAACTGCAGGCCAATCAAATGATAAACTAAGTTCTCTCTCTCTTTCTCTCTCTTTTTTCTCTCTCTTTCTTTCTCTCTCTTTCTCTTTCTTTCTCTTTCTCTCTCTCTCTTTTCTTTCTCTCTTTTTCTTTCTCTCTCTTTCTCTCTTTCCCTCTCTCTCTTTTCTTTCTCTCTCTCTCTCTTTCTTCTCTCTGTCTCTGTCTCTGTCTCTGTCTCTCTCTCTCTGTCTCTGTCTCTGTCTCTGTCTCTCTCTCTCTCTCTCTCTCTCTCTCTCTCTCTTTTCTCTCTCTCTTTTTCTTTCTTTTTCTCTCTCTCTTTTCTCTCTCTCTCTCTCTCTCTCGTTTTTCCCCTCTCTTTCCCTCTCTCTCTTTCTCTTTCTTTCTCTCTCTTTCTCTCTTTCTCTCTCGCTTTCTCTCTTTTTCTATCTCTCTTTCTCTTTCTTTCTTTCTTTCTTTCTCTCTTTCCCTTTTCTCTCTCTTTCTCTCTTTCTCTCTCTCTTTCTCTCTTTTTTCTCTCTCTTTTTTCTTTTTCTTTCTCTCTCTTTCTCTCCCTCTCTCTCTCTGCATCACCTTCTACTTACACCCACTCATTTAATGACCGTTCAAAGTTATAACAGCATTAAGAAAAGTGACTTATGACCCTTTTTCCACATTTGACTAACAACCACACTTGAGCCAAAATTCCTGTTTTTGAGACCCTTAACTGACTTTTGCCTCGTTTTACGACCTTCCTTGCCACAGTCGTTGTGAATCACCGCAGTTGAGGTAGTTACACGGTCACTAAGCAAATCCGGCATCCCCCGTGGACTTTGCTTGTCAGAAAGACACCAAAGGGGATCATCTGACTCCCGGGGCACACTGCGACCATCCTAAATACGAGTCAGTGGCCCAGCGTCCGAATTATGATCACGCGACCGCTGGGCTACTGCAGCCGTCATAAATTTGAGACAGTTGCCGACTGTCTGAATTTTGATCATGTGACCCCTGGGATACTGCAATGGTCGCAAGTCTGAAAAACGGTCAAAAGTCACTTTTTTTCAGTGACTGTTGTAACTTTGAACCGTCACTAAACGAACTGTTGTAAATTGAGGAGTACCTACAAAGGATGTTTCTGGGATGGGCGCCGTGCCCGTGTCTTGACCGGTCCTACCTGGAAAGGCTAACACTAATGTGGAAAACGAAAATATTGGCTATCGTTCTTTTATGCCCAGGACAACTGAATCAGGCCTCATGGCCAGAGTATTGAACCAAAGTTTGTGCTATGCTTAATTTTGCAGTTTGCAATTTCTTAATACAGTTTTGCTAAGCTTGCTTGTTTCAAATATATTTAGAACATAAGGACTGGAACAGTGAGAAATAGGGAACTGCAAGTAGCTGATGGATGCGGGTTCCGATGTACACGGGTATATGTGGAAATTTACGTTCAGCAGAAAGTCAGCAGGAAGTCAGTAGAAAGTCAGCAAAAGTCAGCAGACCATCTGACTACAGCAGTGTTTCTCAACCTTGACCATTTTAAGGCATGTGGACTTCAACTCCCAGAATTCCACAGCCAGCAATGCTGGCTGTGGAATTCTGGGAGTTGAAGTCCACATGCCTTAAACTGGTCAAGGTTGAGAAACACTGGACTACAGTCTTAGAACAGGAAAGGGAATAAAGAGTTGGGTCTGGACCTGATGGATTGGCCATTGGCCTATAGCTGTCCTTTTGGAATCATATGCCATATGATGCGGGTGAAGAAGGAGAGTGCAAAAGTCGGCTTGAAACTCAACCTTAAGAAAACCAAGATGGTGGCATCCGGCCCTCTCAATTCCTGGCAAATAGACGGGGAAGAAATGGAGGTAGTGACCGATTTTATCTTCCTGGGCTCCAAGATCACCTCAGATGGGGACTGCAGCCAAGAAATTAGAAGACGCTTGCTCCTGGGGAGGAAAGCCATGGCAAATCTAGACAGCGTACTAAAAAGCAGAGACATCACCCTGCCAACAACAGTGCGTAGAGTCAAGGCCATGGTTTTCCCAGTTGCAATGTATGGATGTGAAAACTGGACCATAAGAAAGGCTGAGAAGGGCCAAAGAATGGAGGCCTTTGAACTCTGGTGCTGGAGAAGACTCCTGCCAGTCCCCTGGACTGCAGGGCGATCCAACCGGTCAGTCCTGGAGGAGATCAACCCTGACTGCTCTTTAGAAGGCCAGATCCTGAAGTTGAAACTCAAGGACTTTGGCCACCTAATGAGAAGGAAGGACTCCCTGGAGAAGAGCCTCATGCTGGGAAAGATGGAGGGCAAGAGAAGAAGGGGACAACGGAGAATGAGGGAGCTGGATGGAGTCCCTGAAGCAGCAGGTGTGAACTTCAATGGACTCCAGAAGATGGTAGAGGACAGGAAGGCCTGGAGGAACGCTGTCCATGGGGTTGCGATGGGTCGGACACGACTTCGCAACTAACAACAAAATGCCATATGGTCCTCATTACAATGGCTTATTAATGTAAGTGATGTTGTGTTATTATGCTTGCTACGTTCCAAATCATTAGCAAAATAAACCTCTGAATCTTCAAGTAAGAATTATTGTTTTGTGTTGCTGTCTCTTGTCTTTTCCATTGGGTTTTTCCACGACACCAAGCAAGCAGAAGCTGGAGTAGCCTAAGAGAAGGTCTCCCCTCGTGACCTGCTGATGGACTTGATCTAAGCTAGCTGTGGAGGTCCCCAGATGTCCTCACCCTCCCCAGGAGAAGACGACCCAGCTTGGCACAAGAGCTTCTTACCTTCAGCGCGTTGAGGATGGTGGCTCCTTCAAACTTCTCGTTGGGAGTGTGCGGCGAGGTCTTCCCTCTGTAGCCATCACCAGCTAGGAGGATGTTCTGCAGGAGAAGACCAAAAAGGATCAGGGGACTGGAGGCTAAAGCATATAAGGAACGGTTGCAGGAATTGGGAATGTCTAGTTTAATGAAGAGAAGGACCAGGGGGGACATGATAGCAGTCTTTCAATGTTTGA